AAAAAAAAAAACTTGTATTGTAAATTTTATACAATTAATTCTGTTCTGAGATTTAGACAAATAGACATTTAAAATGATGAGAGAAGTAAATAATGCCAAACCTGAGAAGTGTATTAAGAATAGAAACAATTTATACAGACTCATCATAAGGTAAATCAAAATAAATTATAAGCCATAGAATTTTTAATCATACTCATTTTTATTTTTTTTTAGTCAACTTTTTTATGATGGTCATTTCACAATTGCTACAATCCTATCTGCTCAAGTAAATGCTGATCCACCTTGTTGTCCATCCGCTCGACTCATGAGTCTAGTGACAATAGGTTTACAACATGAAACCGATAGACAAACAGAATCTGAACAAGAATCCAACTCAAATCCAATTCAACAAATATTAATTGGATCTGGAATTGGTACGTTTAATGTTTTATATGTGACAWACATTTGTGTATTATATTTTCCTTACTTTATTTGATTAGACTTAGAATTTGAGACTGATGTTATTTGTACTGCTCCGGAACCATCACTTTATGAAACTGTTTATGTAATATCCCATAAAGGAGCCTGTAGGGCTGGTGCATTTAGTCCTGATGGTCAATTAATCGCAACAGGAAGCTGYGATGCAACAATCAAAGTAATTATATTTTACAATATACAATTTAATGAATAATTAAAATACCATTTATAGATATTGGATGTTGAAAGAATGCTGGCTAAAACCCATGATATTGGTAGTACTCACATTCAAGAAGGACAGGGACATCCAGTAATTCGGACTTTGTATGATCATTTGAAAGAAGTGACGTGTTTGGATTTCCACCCTACCAAGCCAATTTTAGCTTCAGGCTCTCGAGATTGTCATATTAAATTTTTTGATTATTCAAAAACATCTGTGAAAAAAGCCTTCAAGACAATAGACGTAAGATGATAAATTAAATTTTATTGTACTCAAATTATTYTAACCGTACACAACAACATTACAGGATGTTGAACCGATAACATGTATAAGTTTTCATCCACTTGGAGACCATATGGTAATGGGAACCAATAGCCCAGTCATAAGGCTCTATGATATAAATACGGTTCAATGTTATGTTAGTTCAATTCCTAGTCATCAACATACTGGTCCTGTTACATCAATAAAGTATATAAACAATTATCTTACGTGTTATTC